GCATATTTTATGATCACTTTTCAATGATGATCGTAGTTATGCCCAGAGATACTGAACAGGTTGATTTGTTTATAAGTTAAGTTAATAAAATTTATTCGTATTATTGCACTTTAATAATTATTCTTCATCTGACTTGTCCTCGTTATGCTCACCACGAGTGCATTAGAAGCTCCACAAATTTTTTTCTCTTATTGCGAGTTTCTTGGCAAGTGGTATTCCGGCAATCCATTCACAGGGCCAGCTATGATGAGCTACTGCCAATATTTCCTCAACCATCATCTAGCCAAATGGATTCTAAAGGTGGAGCAATTCGTCAACTTTCCATCAGGGAGAGACGTCACTAGAAAATGGCAGACAACATCACCAGTTTTAGTAGAGGTCTTCCCTTCAGTAGGAAAACATACGATAATCACTGTGTTTATAACATAGCCCCCGAGGATGGATCCACTGTGATGAGACTTCTGGAAAACTCTGGATGTTTCGACTACGTAGAGCAAACTCGTTTCAGATAATATCAATCGATAGATGAACATTACAGAATTTTATCATGTCAGAATTACCCAGAACGTAGTCTTTAATTTCAGCCGACAGGTTCGGCAAGACGCTAAGAACGTAGTTCTCAAGTTCCACGGCCATCTCGACAAATATCGTTGGAAGATTGCAGGACCAAGCAAAAATCTGCAAGGAAACTCCACAAAGTGTTCAGTTTCGAAGTATGATTTAAAACGCCCTGCGTTCACCAGTGTAATACCCAAACCTATAAAAATGAAAAACTTAAAATTATATAAAAATAGGCATCAGCACTATCTAGTCGAAGAAAACGTAACGCAAAAATCTGTCTACATAGCGATGGAGCCGGAAGATTCGTTTCAGTTGTCTCGCATATGCCATAACACAGGTACCGGAAGCATGAAAAATTTCCAACAAAGAAAAATTTTTCCAACAAAATAATGCACCAGATTAAGATACAAATTGTAACGGAGACTAATTTATATAACTGTGATTAAACAATATACGCCATTAAACATAACACAACCCACTCACAGCACGACAGTCTTGCATGGTGCCAGTGAGGAAGTGCGTCAATCGGATCATCTCATTTCAGCTTATCTTCTCCAACGGACCCGTTTAGAAGATCCCAGCTACAGTGTGAACTCTCAGAGAGCCGGAGGCTGTTAGCACTGTTTCAAACTCCTCAATGCAAGAAAAGGAAAGTTTGTCACCGTTGAAATGTCCATCTACCACTTTGGCGTCCTTCTTTGAAGCTGATGGTACGGCTCTCATCTCCGTTTATACCACGAGCCAGGAAAGTCCTATTTTCTTGAAGGCAAAGTTTTGAGCCACCTGGCAATCGTAGCGTGTAGTCTCCCGTTTCATTCCCACAGAGAGGTACTCATTTATTAACGTCGGAAGAAAGGGCAAGTAAATGCGATCAAGGCTTGAACTCGGGACCTCTCGGTTCTAAGTTCGACGCTCTACCGACTGAGCAACCCCTGATCTTGAAGCAATCTCTGATAAATCCTTACTCAAGGGAATTTTGAATAACACAGACATTGCCCTCGAGCTGAATCGAACCCTGAATCTCATGCTCAATATAATAGTTTAATTGTTTCAGTTTTTAATCAGCTATCTATGATCTACTCTACAATGTCCTCTGCATTTACTCTGGTCACTGTACATATTGCACTTATCAACTATCTGCTTGATACTATTCATTTATTCTGTCATTACTATGCTGAAAAATGGGGTTTGCTGGACCTCTTTCAAGCAGTAAAACTTTCAACTTTCAAATAAGGATCGCGAAGAGACTGGGGAGGAAAGATTAAGTTTAGGCTGCTATCTATGCACCATGGACAAACCGGTCCCAAATTCGCAATTTCTGCGAGAGGAGGAAAAAATTGTTACACTCCTTAAGTCCTTGTCCTATGTCTCTTGTCACATTTAAAAGTTGCAGCAAAATAATTAAAACAGTCGGCCAAAAAACTGAACATACTTTGTGCAAGCAAACGAACAGTTGATATTCTTAAAATTAGAAACTACGCCGTAGGAGAGTAACAGAATAACGTATATCACGTTAAGTAGTGTTATTGTTTCTTGTGGTTTGCTGTACATATACGTTTTATTACATAAACGACCGATATTTCGAGCCATATTCAATCGCTGTCAGCGTACAATGAGAGAAACAGATCTGATAAATGACCTAAATCAAATCTGAAACGATAATGGATTAAGCGGGAATTAATGTCGACAGCTATTCATTAATGATTGAAATCGTCCAGATATTGCTTAGGAGATCGACCACAATGTCTGTGTTCTAATATTTCCTAGTCTTAATGAACAGAACCTCTTAACTTTTATATGTATGTATGCATGTATACATGCATGAAAGTTTATATATATAGTTAAGGTTAGAGATTAAAGGAAGGAAAACACAACTGGCAAGAAGGACAAAATACAGGACAGATCTCGTAACGATCACTGCAGAAGGCGCAAACATCTCTGTTGTTGTTCAACTTCCTTATCAAAAAACATGGACATGGAACACACTGGCATACACAGGCGCAATCGGAGTTCAAAAGATTTGCAAATTATAGAACATCAAAAATACATTCGTTCTAGCTGTCAGATGTATGAACAGAAGCAAAGTCCTGTGTCTGAGCAATATCTGT